ACTCTTTCCTGCCATGGCAGGGGGTCAGACTTGATGATCTGCTCAGGTCCCTTCCAACCCTACCAACTATGAAACTATGAAACTATGAAGGAGTTCATGTTGTAGTGCTAGACATTGTAACTTGAAGATGCTCAGTAATGAAAAAGATCACAGAGGTGGGGAATTGGAAAATTATTCCTCAGTCAGGCTAATCAGTGAGACAGACAAACAAAGGGTCTGCAGAGGCTTGCTGACTGTTCCATGATTAAAGTTTATTGTTTAGTTCTCACTCACATATGCCTGTGTCTGTTGAACCTGGTGATCACTAAATGGTGTTAGTAGTGGGGAATGAAACAGAACTTGAAAGATTTTGAGATCCAAATTGAAGAACAAGTTGGAACCTAGGAGCAAGTGGAGTAACACAGCCATGTGGAGGGCCACTGTAAGTGATCTCCCTGCACAGTCTAAGTAAACAGATAGTATATTGCAGGGGAGGAAGTTCTGCCTCTTTATATCCCCTTTACCTTCAAAGAAGGCCTAATTATGTAGTTACATGTAATGCTGTCCAAATCTGAGCAGTAATGCATACCAAAAAAGAATAAGACCCTTGAAAGACACAGATTTGTTATGTGCAGGCAAACAGCAGGAGAAAGTATACATCAGTATGTTACTGAACTAAAGAAAATGAGTAAAAACTGTTTTTGGGAACTTGAGAGAATCTCTGGTTAGAGATAGGATTATTTGTGTTACTGCTGACACTGCATTAAAAGAAATGTTATTGCATAAGGGAGATTTGTCCTTAGACAATACATATGTTTGGGGCAGCAGAAACTGTGAAGGCCCAGGCTGCAGACATGAATGCACCAAAAGGGATTGTCCATGGAGTAGACCTGAAAGAATGTGGGCAGAAAAAGCCTTCTCACACGGTAGAATTTTTCATTGGCAAGGAGCATGCAAAGCAAGAGGGAGAGAACAGGCAGATATGCAACAAATGTGGAATGCAGTGTGGTGCCAGACATGGTGCTGCATTTGGAAAGCTTTGTTTTAATTCTAACAAGAGGAACCATTTTGCCAGGGCTGCAGATCCCAAACATAAAATCCTCAAATACATACAGTTGAGAGCAGAGCCAGCCTTAGGGAAAATTGCGTCCTGATTGATTTTGTATTTTGGTGGCCCCCCCCACATACAAGAACAGCAATATATAGTGTACCCATCTGTGCCAGACTAGCAAGTACCAGGCAGCCTGGGACTGTGCTAACCAGGCTTGGACCACTGCCTGTGCCAACATGCTGCTACAATGAGTGTTTTTCCCTTGGGAGGTCTCCCCCTGCTTTCCTGCCATGTCTTGATCTTAAGAGAAAATAAGGGAGGCTTCTATTATGTTGTAGACCACCCTAGGGTACGCTCAGTGTAGATGTTTCTTGAGGCTCCTCCACCTCTACACCCATCCACACGCCAACTGCGTCTTGTCCGCCTTATGGAGCTCAATGTTTGGGTTATAGGCAATCAGCCAGGTTTGGTGTTTTCTCACCTTGACAGATGTCTTGATAAAAGGGGATATCACATGTATAATTAATTAGGTTGCCCTGGAGATAATATGAATCAAAATGTTTTCACTAATTAATCCAATAATAAAAGAAACCTCGGTCTTAATTGAGAGATCAGTGAAATCTTTGATTAAAGTTCATCAGGTCACAAGGTCTGAAGTTAATTCCCAAATCATAACAGTTCAGCATAAGTTTATAAACAAAAATAAAAAATAGCCTATAATCAGTCCTTTGGAGTATACAAGTCCTCAGCAAGCTATCGGGCACCTGTAATTCAACTGAGCCCCTATTCTCCTGGACGTGTGCCCCCTAACCAATTCTGCACCTAAGGCATTGGCCTAATCTAGGGCCCTTCCTGGCCAGCTCAAACAAAAAGGCAAAAAAAAACCCCAAAATAGTGCAACAGAAGAAAAAGCCAAAAGGCAACAAGAAAAGAGAGGCAGAAATGTTTCCGCCTAACTTATATGTCCCACTATTTGTGTCCAGATGCTGGGGTCTCAGATCCTTCTTCCTCCAGGCAGCCCTGGCACTGGGAAGGTTGAGATACCCCTCTGGGTATCTATGCTGAGGAACCAGCTTGATGCTTTGCCAGTTGCGCTGAATTGGAGTTGGTGGCAGCAGTGCTATTTCCCATTCTCCTGCTGTGCTGTTCTGTACAGGTTTTTGTAGCACGGGATGTCAGGCACGGGTGTCTGACATCATACCTCTGCACCTCTCCAGCTTCAGTGAGTATGTAATTAAGAACCATGCAGGGGGCACTGCTTGCTGCTCGGCGACCTCCTTTCCTTCACCTGCATCAGGTAAGTATTTCTTGGTTGCAGCCCTAACTGGGCACTTCATCTGGATGTTTTGCATCCTACCAATGTCACCCAAAACCCTCACATGGGGCTTCCAGTCCCTGGGACCAGGCACACCATGATGTATAGATACAGATGAATCAAGCCAAATCAATGAGATGGACTGGATTTTGTCAGTGAAAGAGGAAGCATCTATGGTTTCATTTTAATTGGGCACTGGAGTTCAATTTAATATTTTCCTAGAGCATAAATATAGAAAATTAAAATTGAAACAAAAAGTGAATCTAATGAGCATCAAAATACCTGGTATTCAGGAATGAAGTTGCCAGTGAAAGGAGATACATTGCTAGCATCCAGTATAAAAAGAGAGGGTATAAACTAAACTCCCATTCATTGGCCTGTCCATCCATGAGTTTCTGGTCCCATTACTCTCCATATGATACAGGGCCTATTCCTGTACCCCAGGGGGATGTTTGTGTGCTGGTTTATTGCTTATTCACAGACACCTGGGAAATTAATGTCTCCCTCCACCCTTCCATCCCATCCTTTGGAGGCGTCTAGCAGTTTTCTGTGGAAAGCCTCCCTTGACTTTGTAGTAGCTCCTACACAGACTTCCTTACTATTTGTTTTCTCTTTCATCTACATCCAGAGACATTCAGCAGAATCTTCCTGGGCTTTTACCTTTCAGTAGAAAGACAAACAAGTTTATCCTCTCTGCCAAGAACAATTACGCATCATTCCCAGAGCCCTGCGGTCAGTCTCATCAGCGTCCATGGTGATGGTCAGTGTAGGTATCAGTCCTTGGGCCTTATGAACTATGGGAATCTGTGGCTCCAGGCAGCACCCTCCATTCCAGGATGAGGTGTCACATCAGCAGATGTGTGCCTGTGCTGCTGTCTCTCTGACCACTTCCATTGGTCCTTGTGGGGCTCCTCAGGCATGAGGGGCAACCCTGGTTCAGTCTTTATATCACGGACATGGAAGCCAATGTACAGTCATTGCAAGAACTTCACGAATGACACAGAGATTGTGTCCAAGTGAATGACAGCAAGGATGGGGAGGCAGTGGGTGAATGGTGGTGATGAGAGGGCAGCAGTGAGTGTCAGATAGTGAGAGAGGGGCATGAGGACAGAGATCAGGATTTGGGATAAACTGGGCTGTTGGGCAAAGGGAATTTTACTGGATCCAAATTGAACTTGCCCCTCTTGCATTCTCAAATCAAAGCCCAACCCAGCAGATACAGGCCCTGCCTTGCCTGTTGGAAGCTACATGATTATTCATAACATAAAGGCCATTGGGGGATGTTTCTCTTCCCCATCACCATTTCCTTCCCTTCATGCTTATTTCTGAAGGAGGGAGGGACTTGGGTCTGCTTTAGTTCCACTTGCAGGCAATGAGCATTCAGTCGTAATCAAGCTGACACGATAGCTCGTGAAACATCCTCTCCCCTACCCTCCACTCCCTGCATTCAGTCTCACCAGGCACCAGCTCTCATCATACTGGACCAGTTCAGCTGGCAGAACACTGCAGTAGGGCAACCATTCACTGGTGGCCAGATCTGTGTGTGAGTGTAACCTGGGGTCACTGGAGAAAACAGTGAGCTCCTGGAAGAGGTGATGAGCATGGTGGAAAGACCCAGTTCTGGAGGCGAGGTGATCACTGGGGTTTCCTCTCTGGTGTTCTGAGGGGAGTGGGTGGAAATGAGGGGATTGAGAAAGCAAAGGGCAAGGGGTGATGGATACGGTCAGATCAGGAGAAGGACCTGAGGGAAACAAGAAATGTTGGATGGACAAGATGGAAAAGTGCAAGTGAGAGAAGAGAACTAGGGCAAG